TATTGAAAATCCTGCATGTGGGCTCAACACAAGGCTTGCATCCAACCTAAAACCAATTGGCAATAGGTGGAGTAGCCCTCCTTGTATTTAACCCACAAGCTTCTTATTTTTATACTCGATGTGGGATTTTCCCACTTAACACGCCCCCTCACATGCAAGCCCGCTATGAATGTCGGGTCTTGTCACGTGGGTTAACAGATGGAAGATGATTAATAAATTGCAGAATGCAAAATCAAATGAATGCATGGTTTGCCTCCTTTGGAAAAATGAGTCCTTTTTGTATCGTTTGTTTAGGGCTGCATTTCCCCGTGTAACACTCTCCCCTTTCTCCAACGGTACATCTTCAACGCTCGCGCATTTTCTAGAATTATTTTCCATTTTTTTTCCACACAGAACACACAAAAACATGAAACAACCTAAGTACCATTAAAACTGATATTTTATTTCCTCGAAATTTTTGGGTTCTCTGCCTTTTATTTTGCATTGCATTGCACTGCACTGCACAGTTTTTTCGATCGTAAAAATAAAAATGATTAAATTCCTTGCCAAACAGTATTTGTTGTGTAGTTTGAATTTTTAGTTTCATCATCTTTGGAAGAAAGGTGCATGATTTCTTGCTTCTCTCCTCTCCTCTCTCATTCTTTGCTTTTAGCTAGACTTTAATTGCGGAAGGAAAGCACTTCTATTTAGTTGGGTTATGTCTCTCTTTTCACATTTGTCTCTAGCTCTTCTGGGTTTTAGATATTTTTTCCAAAATGGAGACTTTCAACTATGTAGGTCTCTCCCTCTTTCTCCTTTTCTAACTTATGTTTTCCGTAGGTGTCATCTTGAAGTTTTGTTGATTTTGTTTGATTATGCTAATTTTCTATTGGTCTTTGCTTCACCATACATTGCTTTTCAATGGGTTAATTTCATTTCTCTGCTTCATTTCTTGATACATTGATGATTGATACTTGATCGTGAGGCATGATTAAGGATTTTTTTTTTTTTTCGGTCTTAATCATAACATGAGAGAGATTTTGAAGAAATGAAAAGAGGGCATTTTTAACCGGTTTAGCCGTTTAGGAATTAAATCATTTTTATTTGCCTTTTCATCTAGAAAATTTAGAATCGGTAAAAAGTAACTTCGGTCCTATTTGATGGAGTTTTTTAGAATTTTTATTTTTTTAATATTTTTTATGAGTCATAAATTTAAATTTTTATTAAGAAAAAATTTAAAAATTATTTTTAAAAATAATAAAAAATGAGTAAGAAATAAATAAAAAATAAGTTTATAAAAAATAAAAATTTAAAACTTTTTAAAATTTATAATATAAGGTCTTTTTAAGGTTAAAATAAAATTAAAAATGTAAATTTTTAAAAAAATTTTAAATTTATAAAATATAAATAATATCAAAAAATTAAATTACTTACAAAACTTCACCAAACATGCTCTTCCCGTAACACCCTCCATTTCGTCCGGTACACCTTTTGCTTTAACAAACTTCAAGCATTTGTCCCACTCTTGAGGCTGGGCTTCAACTTCTTCTGGTACTCCATTTTTAAGGACAAGCCACAATTTATCCAAATTTCTCAGGAATTGAACAGCAAACATGTAATTGCATTAGCAATGACATATATAATAGAATCCAGAAAACATCGCGATTGTATTTACTTGATATCAAGACTAAGCTAGCAAATTTGGTAACATAAAAAATCAGCAAATTTTAAAATTAGAAAGAAAGCAACAACATTTACACAGGAATATAAAGCCAGTCTTGCGAATCTTCAGGACATTAGAATTTACTTTAAGATACATATCTTAAAAATATGTCTTCAGTATCAAGTAGTAGATATGGATTACATAAATTTCAAAGAAATGCAAATGGGGAGGTTCCACACTGACTAATTTTTGTGATACAAACTATTAGCCAAATTTGACAGCTTAAATTCAGCATAGCCTCTGTGACTTCATATGCGATCTGAGCAACCAACAGCAATGATGTCTTGGTTATGCATCTGCTTCCTAGATTTATGGTATGCGCGAAGACCTGTAATTCATCAACATAAGGCAATAAGAGTCCTAAAAAGAAAAATTATAGAATATTCAGTATCAATTTTTAGTAATACAGCTCTGTAAAATTACGAGAGATATAAACTATATAATCATTAGACATATGCAAATATTTCATTCCTTGTTTAATTCCTCAGATTCATTTCATTTAGAATGTGAAAAATACAGTACACTAGCTGCAAACTTCGAAATAATTGTGAAAGGATAGCCATTCTCGTTTGACAAATTGAGCCCGGATTTAAATCTACTAATACAAGTAAGCACCAAATAAAAGAATGACTTGAATTGAACAGAAAGTTACCAGGCTATCGAATTGCATTCTTGTTTTGTTGCTCCATGGAGTTGTATATCTCTTCCATTTGTGTCATCACATCATTGTCTTCATCAATCGAGGAGAAAATGCTATGGAGATAATCAGGCTGACTCTCCCACTCTGATTCATCCCACTCCAATGCTTCCCACCACTCCCTTTCTCCTTTGATCACTTTTAAATTTTCACTCGACATTTCCCTTTTAGAAAGGCCCTTAAGCTCTGGGCAATCATAAAAGCCTATTTTTTCCAGTTTTGGTGCAATGTGAAAGTCACTAGAAATGCTTTCCAATTTCGGAAGGAAAAGAAGTAACATCATCTTCAAGCTAGGCAAAAAACAATCTAGTGCAGATTTAAAGGATGCATTGCTTGTTGGGCTTACTACACTGGTCAATTCAGGGCAGTCATCAACAATAAGAACTTCCAACTTGCCTAAATTATTAAGCAAAGCTGGTAAGAAAATGACTTCCAATTTGGCGCACACATGAAGTTCTAGGACTTTCAAGCCAGATAGACATGGCTTATCACCGGCGCGATTTCTCCAAATGCTCACTAAATTCTTTAGGTAATAGATATGCAAGTACTGTAGATTCAAAAGTACATGTTCTTGGGCAGAAAATGCCTCACCTCCAGACTCATGATTGATTACCTCATCTTCAACTATACCGATTTGTTCTTGTTCACAAGGCTTTCCGTCATCTATGATGGTCTGGATTTCATTACATTCTGTCAATAAGCAAAACTCTAAATTCTTCATATTCTTGATCCCAAAATCAGACAAGCTTGTAGCTGAGGCATGACGTTCAAGGTAGAATGCCTTTGTGTATCCAACTACCCTTTTCATCTCGCTTGAAATATCATTGCCCTTAACAAATTTCAAGCATTTGTCCCACTCTTGAAAGTAAGTTTCAACCTTTTTCGGTACTCGGCAGATGATGCGCTGTCTATGCTGCCCAACAGTAAACCTGAACCTACACAAGGGATAATAGCTGAGTGATGTGCAGCCTATTCTGCGTTTTCCCAAAATTTGGACGTTTGGAAGGTATAATATAAGACACTTCAATCTTTCCAAGCTGCAGGCTTCCTCTACAACAACTTCCTCAACCGCATTCCAGTCCTCATTATCCGGATTCACATCAATTTTTAATTCAATCAACTGAGAGAGACTTTTAATGGTCTTAGGATGAATTAATACATTTTGTTGCAGCTGCTTTCCACAGTTCATGTATCCATCAAGGGATAATCTCAAAATTTCTAAATTGGAAAGTTTTCCGATCTCATTTGGCAATTCAGCAATTTGAGTCTCATCAAGATCAAGCAAAACAAGATTATGAAGTTGTCCAACTAGTGGTGACAATTCCGTAAAGAGTTTGCAGTGCCTTAGACTGAGTTCTTTAAGTGAAACCAACTTGAAAAGAGACATGGGCAAAGACCTGATACTAGTATGAGACAAATTCAAGCGTGTAAGGATAGGCATTTGCTCAAAGAATGAGGAAGGGATAGCCATAAGAGCTTTGCTACCTTCCAAGGATAGAGCGACCAGAAGTGGGCAGTTTGGAGATTCTGGGAGAGCAGGTTTACAAACAGTTGCACTTATCTTTGGAGCAATCCATTCATCTCCTTTTGGTATCTCTGTCAACACTTCTCCACCTTGCTTGGAACTCATATTGGTGTATCTTTCAACACTAAATGGCAATTCATCATCCTCTGTTTCTATGTCCGCAGATTTACAAATGGTTGCACTTATCTTTGGAGCAATCCATTCGTCTCCTTTTGGTATCTCTGTCAACACTTCTCCACCTTGCTTGGAACTCATATTGGTGTATCTTTCAACACGAAATGGCCGTTCATCATCCTCTGTTTCTATGTCTGCTAGCATGCCATGTGCCTTACTTACAGACTGTTGCATATATAATGTTAGCAAATAATCATTTAGATTGTCCACATTTGTTATGAAATCAGAATATACTTACAGTCATATAAACTAACAAAAAAGATAACAATGAACAAAATATTCTCGTGCCAAAAAGAAAGGAAAATCCTTATCGAGGAAAAATATAACTTTTTGAAATGAAAGATAACAGGGAGGAAGAAGCCATGGTTGACTTAATAAAGGAAAGTGATGTTGTCGGAACACCAAGGCTGTTTTTGGTTCACATTAACCACTAAGCCCTAGCCTCCCCTCGACCCTTCCAAACTAAATAAACCATTGATCCTGTTAAAAGAAAAAAAAAAAAAAATCTCTTTTTTCCACTTATTCCTTAATGTACTTAATTATGAAACAGAGGAAGTATCACCAGCCATCGAACACACAACCAATAAGGCATGCACGTTCAATAATGAATGTCCAAACCAAAAAGGACTGTGGGATGGCCATGAAAAGTAGTTTCAATATTATTAGACAAGATTATAGTTTTAAACAAATTATCGTCTTTTCCGTTTGTTTTAAACTATGATTTTTAAGGTTGCAAAATTTTATATAAGGAGGCATAAGGAGAATTCTATTAAGATTAGATGAGTTAAATCTCACTAGAACTGTAATACCTAACCCTTACCCAACTAGAATTGTAATCTTAAAATGACTTTATATAATATCTTATAAATACTGCAACACTAGACATAGGAAGGGGATTATCCTCAGCATTCTCTCTCCATTGTAAGCTCTTTTCATCCTTGATTAATAAAATACTTGGTTCCACATAATCTCTTCTATTTTTTAGTGTTAACATTTGACAACCACCGTAGTATTGAGTTCTATTTTATCCATAAATTTTGAAAATTTCACCACCACCGCTCATGGATGCTCCAAGGTTGGAAGATAATGGAGAAATGAGTGGATCTCTTTGTCTTAAACGAATGTTGGACGAATTCTGGAGGTGTGCTGAACGGAGCTACACCGAGAGATCTGCTATTGGGGTCACAAGTTAAGAGGCTTGAGCAAGATATGGTGGATACAAGGAACAATCGTACCATGGAGCTATGGCGTAACCTCCGTACCAACACACCCAGTAAACGGAGGTACATAGGTTTATAACAACAATATATATAGAGAAATAGATACGCTGCATCGGTATGTGGCAAAGGTAGAGGTGAGTCGGTAGAGGTATCCAGACGCAACATACACAACTTCGGTGGAAAAAACTTTTGCTGACAAAGTTATTAAAGAACCTGTGCAGCCAACATTCAAAGCTCTGCAGTTGGCAGAATACTACTAAACACAAGATTCAGTGGAACATGTGCAAGGATTCAAGATGACAATGGTGGTCTACAGCGCTCATAACACTCTTTTGTACAAACAGTTTCCCACAACTTTCAGGAAAGTTGTGCAAGCTTGGCTCATGACATTACTAGATAGCTTGCTTTCACAATGAAGTTCTGTAGAAAAAGCTACAAGGAGCCTAAGCCTAATAGAAGAAAACATGTGTTGATAGTTGGAATTCCTAAGAAGAAAATCTTAGATGATATAATGTGAGGACAATTTGTTGCCGCAAAGTACATGTTTGCAGGATTTGTTGATTTAGAGTCATGATACACTTAATAAATAAACATGCACTTGCAAAAGATGTATAGGCAACCATCTGTCACACACAGGAATGTGCTGGATATCAAAATCTAGTAACTCAATTATGTTGTGACTCAAGGACCCATGCAACATTATAATAATTAGATAGATAGAAGAGCAAGCACTACATCAAAAGGTAATCAAAATTTCAACGCGCATAGATATCCATGAAGCACATAATCATTGTAAAATATTGTGTGAAAAGGCAAAGAATACAACCACATCCATATTTGAAGAAGCTTTGCTATAATCACATTCAACCATAATAAACGGTGGAGAAGAGCATCATCAAGATCTGCATTTGCAAGGCAGGACAAACATCTTAAAATCCTACATACATAGATCTTCAAAGAAAGCTACAATTCCAGCTGAGTATATTTACTTTTCTAAATAATTTCCTAATTTTGAATCTTAATAGTTATGCAACTTCATGTGTTTCTAAGAAAACTAACCTTTTTCTTGAGAAATTTTTCTTGAGAAACTTTTGGGAGGAGGCCACCAAGGCCAAAAAGCTCCAAGTACAGAAATTCAATTGAAGTGCACACAGGTTTAACAAGTGCTATGAGACACATATTCATGAGTTCTCTTATTAAAGCAAAATCCAATGCAGGAACGTCGATTATGCACAACACAAAGGTAATCTAAACCTTTATTGTGTAGAACCTAATGGCTTCCAAAACAAGCATAGGATGTTGTGAGCCAATGCAAGAATATAAATCTTGTGTACTGACACCAACACCATGCACCACTAAGGAGGGACTCAACAAAGCTTCATCAAACCTATTCTTGGAAGAATGCCTCCTCACACACATAGCCATGACTATCAAAGCGATAAGCACAGCTTTCATCATAGAAGAAAAGAAAAGCATAAACTTGCGAAACAGATACTCACCTTTGGAAAACCTCGAATATTCAGGTATTATTTTCTTAGGCATAAATTTTCAATTTTAACTAATTATCCTTTGAGAGATGTTTTGTAGAAACAAATGTAGTGTAAAGATAAAAAATGAAATTCATGAAGCCTCAAAAAGTTTTCTGGTCCAACAAAGCTCTGAAGGCACAAAATTCAACTAAATTCAAGGAAGCAATGAGAAAAGAATAAAGTTGTGTCAAAGCATCTTTGCTAATACCTCCATCAAAAAGAAGAGCACAACTTGAAAATGAAGGTAAAACACTTGAACAGATCGAGTGGAGGTTTGCCTTAGTAGAATATCCTGAGTCCAACAAACAATCGGAAGTTGCAAATAAAGCTATATTGGAAATTCTAAAAAAGAAAAGATGAGGAAAAGCAAAACATATGTGGATGGAGGAATTACCCTGCACCTTGTGTGCTTATAGAACTACTCATCACACACCTATATGTGTGTATGGCGAATTATCACAAGAGAATGGAAGGATACTACAAATGCAAAGTAAAACCTAAAGACCTGTACCAAGGAGATTGGGTATTGCAAAAGACAGAGATTTCAAAAAAGAATTTTAGAGAAGGAAAGTTGCGCCCAAATTAGGAAGGTCTGTAGCTCTTCAAAGAAGATATGGGAAACAAAGCTTTTAAAGCTCATTCATCCCAACAGAACTTTAGTTCCAAGGACCTGGAATGTTGCACACCTTAAAAGCAACAATCTATTTCAGATTGCTAAAAACCACTCCTAAGTGGAACATGGTTTTAAGAATAAAATCTTGGTTGCACACATCTTTACTTACTTCTACACAATGTTAAGCTTCAACATCACTTTTAAGTGAGCTAAAGCTTCAAACACTAGACATGGTGGAAAGAATATGGACGCGCAAAACTACAAAGCTATTTTTCAAGCTCTAAGATCCAAATAGGGTTGGTTCACTTAAAACATTGAGAACTAAAAACTAACTAGAATATGCTTAAGCGAACTAAAAGACATGAGCAAGTTTGGTTGTACATAAACAACCAAGCAAAGCTGACACGAGCAGGGTTACAAAGGTTAATGCAATTCTCAAATATAGGAGGGACTTTGCAACATAAAGCCGTAGTGACTGGTTGGGGTGTAAAGTTGTGTCTGGCCCATTTTTTATACAAGAAAATGGAGGACAAGGCATATACTAACTACTCGATAAACTTTGGATCCTCATTGATGAGGGAGGAGTCCTTCACCCTAAGAAACTAAGCTGGCCTCTAAGATTGATAGATAAGCCGCACATAGCTTCAAAAATTAATAAGTTGGTTATACATAGCTTCCCTCAAAACAAAATCTAAGTCACAGAGATTTCAAACTCCATCATAGCTTCCAAAAGCTAGAGAGAGATATGACGCAACACATCAAAAGCTTAAAAGATGGAAACAACATAGATTCTGCAAATCTCTATGTAAAGCATGAATAACAAAGATAGTTCTCTACATCGAACTATCGTCAAAGGGTAAATAAGGAGAAGAAAAGATGGAAGATCCAAACCAATAGAAAGCTTTGCAACCATCAGCTTTCCAAAGACCTCTGTAGTTAGTGAATGTAGACCAAGAAGTTGTAGCAGAAGAATCAACAACACACATCTTTCTGAAAAATTGTGCAGGGGAACCAAAGTGAATGGCACGAGAAAAGTTTAAATTACATAGCTCCAAGAGAAAGAAAGTGCGACACATTCAACAAAGAATGTAATTAAAGAAAAACATCCAAAGATATGAAAAAGAACATTAGCCTCAGCAAACATAGAAATCTTGAAGACCTGCATCAAACATGGACAAGAACTAAAACATCCACTCAACACTAAATTTTGAAGATAATAAAGATGAAAAGACAAGATGCAAAAATGTTGACAGATGAAAAAATTGCAAAACCTATGCAAAATGTAGAAGATTTATGAAACACTTGATTCTCACAGGATTTTTAATCAAAGCTGTGTCAAATGCCCCAAGTATGGGGGAAAACCTATGCTGTACTCTTTTTCCCCTAAGTTAGATTTTTATCCCACAAGGTTTTTACTGGTTAAGGCTTTTAATGAGGTAGACATGGTTGGAAATGAAACTTCTGCTATAAAGGTTCAGAATCTCTAAAACATAGAGACTAGAAACCTCTACTCAATAGAGGTCTTAAACATCGCCACCACTTATGAAAGTGAGGGCTTTGCATGAAGTTTTGCTTGCAAAACTTATGCAAAACTTGTAACCAAGTACAACAGAACTTTATGAGAGTGAGCTGTCTATTATAAAACCTATGTTGGAATGAAACAAAGCAAGTTTTCACTACACACAAAGTTTGTTGTTGCGGGGGAAACGTTATATCCTAAATTGAGTCCTACGAGAATTAGGACACATGGAGGCATCCTGGAAGAATTCTATCAAGATTAGATAGGTTAAATTCCACTAGAACTAGAATACCCAACACCAACCCAACTACAATTGTAATCCTAGGATGATTCTATGTAATATCCTATAAATACCCCAATTGTAGACCTAGGAAGGACAAGATTATCTTCTTCATTCTCTCTCCATTTCATACTCTCTTCATCCTTGATCATTAAAGTACTTGATTCCACACAATCTCTTCTATTTTTTAGTGCTAACAGGTACTAAAATTAATATCAACTTTTACAATTTTTTCATTTAAATTAAAGACTAAAATGTGTCATAATTGCATTATTAACCTATACCATTAAAAAGACCCTATCTCAAAATACAGTTAAAACTTGTTAAATGAATCAAGAAAACAAATCCATTATCATATTTTTCAATGCAAAAAGTGATAATAATTGACCAACCATATTGCTTCTTGTGTCTAAGGCACATTATTAAAAAAATGATTAAATGTGAGAAATAAAGTGAAAACACCTTATTAACTCAGTTGGTAAGGGAATTGTGGCTAAATCTATGCTGAAATGGAGCACTTACCAGGTGTAATTCTTCCTCCTCACTTGTAACAAAAGACTGCATATCCTCTGACGAAAACGCCAAGTCTTCAGGCCATTCATACGCCACCAAATTTTCTTCGATAATATCTTCATTATCCCCAACTTCCTCTATATCAGACTCTATGTCTATTTCCTTTCCCTGCACAACATGAGCAGTGGTACAGAGATCAATAAAAAAAAATTAAAACTGTGGATAGGTTTAAATCAAAGGGCTCGTTCGGTTGGTAGTAGTAACCACTATCTAGTCAAACTAAAAAAATAAGGTATAACTGAGAAATTTTATAAGATTTACGAATAGTTAAATCTTAATGTCTAATTTTTCTTTTATGTTAGTAAAAAATCAAGAATACTTACTATAGAAGAAA